CGAAGCCCAGAGCGAGGCTCGGCATTGATTAGATGTCGCCGTTGGACTTCGAGAGGCTCCCAGATTGTGCATTGGCCGAGCTGTGCGAGGTCTATCGGTGGGTGGAAGAAGGATTATCATGGCCGTGGCAGGTGCTCATTGTCACTGGTCGCCTCTTGGGCAAGAAATCAGGAGGCGACCGAGTCATCGGTTTGATTGCCATGGTTTGTCGGTTGGAGTATGGCGAGGGAAGGTCAAGTACGTCAATGGGCTCTGGATGATGAGCCTATGTGGGATGCGGCTGTAGCCAACAACAGCGCGCTTCGGGGAGCGTGTGTTCGAGCGCTCGAGGAAGAACTGCATGTTCGTCTGAGGGTGCCGCACGGGCATGCGCTCGTGGATGCTCACGCGTTCTATGACAGCATAGAGTGGCCACATCTTGCACGCGGGGCCCTTCGTCTGCGATTTCCTCCGACCGTATTATTCTTGGAATTGCAGACTTGTTTGGGTTTGAGAATGGTGGCGCAGGTTTCAGCGCATTCTCTCCCATTCCTGCCGACCCGATCGGTAGTGCAGGGTTTGAGGAGTGGAACCAGATTTGCTCGCTGCATGAGTTACTGGGTTCTCCATCGTTTGCGCACAGTTCATCCGTCGCTGTCCGAGCGCTTGTGGATTGATGACGTATCCATGCGCTCGGTGGGCCGGCGACAGGTGCGCATTATGTTGGTTCAAGGTATTTGCAGCGCAGCGAAGTACATGAGAAGTCAAGGGTTGGCGATTTCTCCAAAGTCGACGGTCACGTGCTCACGCAATGCTGATACGAAGGCTGTGATCCAGCAGTTGGGGCGCAAAGGCATTGTGGTGCAGGGGGCTTTGCAGGCGGCTTACCTGGGCGTCGACCTCGGAGGGGGTCGAAGGCATGCTCGGGACACAGCGCGGAAGCGAGTCGCCAAGTCGAAGCTGCAGCATTCGAAGCTTCGACGATTTGCACGGACGGCTTGCCGGCATGTCTCGACGGCGAAGGTGCACCGAGTTGGACCTCAGGCCGCAGCGGTGCACGGCCACCAGGTGCACTGTTGCTTTGGTGAGTCCATGGTGGTACAACGACGCAGGCTCGCAGCTGCTGCGAGTTAGGCGAGGAGAGGTCGGTGTACTACGACGCTCCTGGAGTTACGGTTGCCGGGATTGGATCCAGGCTTTGTGTTACCACGGCAGAGTACTGCTCAATGGTTACAAGTGTGGAGGTCAGAGCCTCGGCTGCATCACGGCATCCAGCGCGCGCGGAATGATACGGTGCAGTTTTTGTCGGAGATGCCCGAGGCTCAGAGAAATCGACACGTCAGAGGTCCTATTTCGGCGACGATTGCATATTTGTTGCAGGCGGGCTGGCTTCCATCATCGGCATACGAATGGGACACCACGAATGATCGCACGCAAGATCGGCATGCTTGGAATTTCTCGTCTGCTGAGATTGTTGGCCATGATCAAGCGGCACCTCTTTTGGATGAGTTCGTGGAGTCGCTCGCGGCAAAACAATGGCGAGAGGCAGCTAAGTTGCATTGTGGCGAGGGCGTGGCTGGTGGTGTTGATTGCGCTAGTTACCGGCAGTTTCTATCGTGTCTTGGCCAGGCATATACAGGGAGACACTTGGTTGAACTCATGATTGCCATTGCCGTGGGCGGGCCTTGGCCCAATGAACGGAAGTTCGCAGCCAAAGTGAAGGGTTGTGTATCCAGCGTGTGCGATCGTTGCAAAGAATATGTGGAAACGGTTTTCCATCGTACGTGGGAGTGTCCAGCTAATGACGGAGGTCGTGCCTTTTAAGATTCTGATTATCTAGTTGCGAGAGCTGGAGCGGAGCGTGAGAGTGCGACCTGTTTATGGACCAGGGGCCTCATCCCGTCCGCGTAGACGTGGGTGCCAGAGCCCGCGCAGACACCGCAGTGGGAGGTTGGCAACATGAGTCACCTTCATAGCGGCTGTCTGGGTTCAGGAACAAGGTCGGCTCCGCTACTGGTGTTCGGCGACGCCTCAGGGGGAGCTGAGTCACGAGATGCTCGCCTCCGACGAGTCGGACTGGGGCTGGCCGTCACAGATTCGTTTTCGCCAGTATCCTTGGGACCGCACATGTCGGGACCCCTGTGGGGACCGTAGTCCAAGCAGACGGTGCCGAGGAGCGAGCTCTTATGTTTGGCTACGGCCATTGAGTATTCAACTGGAGTCCTGATCTATGTGACCGACAATGATGAAGTCTGCCGCGGCTGGTGGCAAGCGAAGCATTCACGACCCGCGGGCCAGAATGCTGACGTCTGGAGGAGCATCCACGAACTTCTCCAGAGCCAAGGCCGATCCCAGGCGGATGTGATTGCGTTGCAGGTGTCCTCTCATATTTCACCGACGGGGTACCTCGGACGAGGTATTGCGAGCTGGCTGGTGCAGGGCAATGAAGTGGCGGACAAATTGGCAGAAGCTGCAGTTGGGAAGTGTCGCATTCCAGAGCAGCATCGAGGACGAGTACTGGCAGTGGAGCGCGACGCAGCTCACGTCAGGAGGCGGCTGCTGCGGGCCGCCTTTTGGTCCTCAAGTTCGAGACCCAGCAGAAGCAGGAGGCGCGAAAAGTGAGAATCGCTGAGGGTATGCCCTCAGGTGTCCCTCCCCCGCCTCCTCCCCCTCCGCCTCCTCCCGCTCCTAATAGTGTTGCACGCTTCGCGACGGCACATAGTTTAGAAGAAGACGGGAAGTCTTGTACGGTGTGTAGGGGTAGCGCGTCGAATGCAAGTGTGAAGGCCTGGCATGAGAGTATGTGCACGTCTCTGGAAAATGTGAACGGTGGGATCTTGAGGCTCCCCCGAGGACGATTAGTACATATTGCTGGTGGTTGGGCTCACCCCTCGCATCCCTTGTATCATCACGTGTCTCTTGGCATCTGGTACTGTGCTGTGTGTGGCTACTTCGGCCAGTCTCAACTGAGAGGGTTGGGAGTGCCATGTAGGCCTGCTCTCATCACCAAGTGTCGTCGAGAGCATCTTGACTGAATACCACGCGATCTTTTCCCCAAGGTTTAAGGGGCGCCGAGTTGTTATTGACATCTGTCAAGGCGGTAATCCTGGTAATACTCCTCCTCCTCCTCCTGCTCCTCCTCCTCCTCCCCCCCTTCAACTTGCTGGCTCCAGCTTGCTGGTCTTCCGAGCTCATCTCCATCGGCCTCTCTGCTGCGTTGGAAAGACTTGCCGCGTCCTCGCCGCGTCTGCCCCGATTCCGATTCCGATCCCCCCTTGGATCAGTTGTCGTTGGCCCAGTTGGAGGGCGTGTGGCCCCCGCGCGCTCCGCGCACGAGGCCCCTGCAGCTTCACGCCCGCGCGGCGTGCCCGTGTGCACCGAGGGGTGCTCTGGCCCCAGCTTGGTGGGACGGCTCCATCCTCGGGAGCCTTGAGACGGGGATCAGTGAAAACGGGGGTCCGTCAGAGCGCCCGATCTTGCAGGATCCTGCAGGGACACGGTGGCATTGACCCGGGTTTGGGTGCCGGATTTTGCAGGATCCTGCAGGATTCTTCGCATTGACCCGGGTTTGGGCGCTTGGGCGCAGGATCTTGCAGGATCTTGCAAGGCCTGACTGACCTGGGTCTGGATTGACCCAGGTCAGAAGATCCCTGACATCGGCGGGGGTTGGCCAGGCCTCTCTGTGATCGGAGAGGCCTGGTGGCCAGTGCCGCCGACCCTGAACGACGACGACGACGACGACAACGACAATACTAACGTGGGTCAGAGTCTTCAGGGATGCTTCTTGGGACGGCTCCGTCAGCAGAGGTTGGCCAGGCATCTCTGTGATTTCGGTGTTTGCCCCCAGCCATCCCGTTGTGTTGGGTCCTCTTTTTGAAGAGACAGCGACCCGCGTTCTCCCTTCTCCCATTGTCCCCCCCTCCTCCCATCCCAGGTCCCGTCCCTGCCTCTACCCTCCGCGCGCTACTGCTTCGGCACACCACGTGCACCGATGTGATTCCTGTTTTTTGTTGCTCCCCGTGGCGGGGGGAAACCAGCTCATAAGAAACTCCAAACAACGTCAAGCGATGCCAAGTTGCGCCAAGCAACGCCAAGCAATAGAATGGCATGCAGACCCATGCCAATCAAAGCAGTGCACTGCCAAGCAGTGCCAAGCAATGTCGCGTAGGAAGCGTTCCTCTAATTGGGGTCGCGCCAGGTTCATGGTTTGTGTTCCAATCGGAGCGGTTGCATAATTTCCAAATGGTGTTCACGTTGCAGTGTTGGTCTCGTTTTAAGATCGACGTTTTGTTCCGGTCGTTAAGAGAGGGGCTCTTTCCCCAGCGCGTGTTTCGATTCTGGATCCGAGTCTTTCTCGTCGTCGTCGCCTCACTCCTTTCCCCTCCTCCGCCTTCTCCTTGTCATCCTGCTCCTCGCGCTCCTGCTGCTGCTGTTCCTCGTCGTCCTCCTCCTGCATCATCCTGTGCATCCTCTTGCTCTTCCGCCACCTCCTCCTGCAATGTACACAGCTCCCCTTCTAGCGCATAGAACCATCGGGTCTTGGTGGTTCCAGGTCCGCTACGATACCGTCGGCAGATAGAGAAAAGTCAGCGCAATGCGAAGGGGAGGGTAGGATTACAGATATGGCGCGAGCCCACCTAGCTTGTCTCTCCCTCTCTCCTCTTTCCCACTCTCTTTCCTCCATGCTGACTTGGCGAACCACAGTCATGCAGCGATAAGACAAAAAACAAGCGGGAAGCACGCCATCGGGAGTTCCCTGCCCTCCCTCTTTCTTCCCCCCTCCTCCTTCCCCGTTCCCCCAGAGGAGAGGGATAGGGCGTTTCCGCAAGAAGATGCGTCCCTTCATCGTCGTGCACGTCGCGCTGTCGTCTCCGCCTCCGCCGCCCGCCGCCATCGTCGTCGTGGCGTCTTCGCTGCCGTCGTCGTTGCAGTCGCCGTCGCCGCCGCCGTGGTGGTCGTCGTCGCCGCTGTCTCCGCCGCCGTCGTCGTCGCTGCGTCCGTCGCCTTCGTCGGCGGCCGAGGTGCGCTCGAGGTTTAACGCGCTGGTGCCGAGCTGCTCGTCCAAGGGCGACGGCGACAGGGACGCCGCCCGCTCTGTCCGTCACGGCGGCCGCCGTCGCCGTCGCCGTCGTCGTCGTCTTGCTCATCCTCCTTTTTTGCCTAACAGCTTTTGCTGATAGGTTTCTAGTGGGATCAAAAGAGACCATCTTGACGCCCCAGGGGGGTCTGGGCGGGATCCAGACAGAACCGGACAGATCCGGAATCCTTAGGAATCCTTAGAAATTCATAGAAATCTTTAGGAATCCATTCCCAGAACACCATTCCCAGGCCACATTTTGAATGCCCGGAGCCAACTGTAGGCCACTTCGTGCTCTTCGTGTTCCCAGAACACCATTCCCAGGCCACATTTTGAATGCCCGGAGCCAACTGTAGGCCATTTCGTGTTCTTCGTGCTCCCAGAACACCAGTCCTGTGCCATATTTTGAATGCCCGGAGCCAACTGTAGGCCACTTCGTATTCTTCGTTTTCCGAGAACACCATTCCCAGGCCACATTTTGAATGCCCGGAGCCAACTGTAGGCCACTTCGTGCTCTTCGTGTTCCCAGAACACCATTCCCAGGCCACATTTTGAATGCCCGGAGCCAACTGTAGGCCACTTCGTGTTCTTCGTGTTCCCGGAACACAATTCTTATACCATATTTTGATTGCCCGGAGCCAACTGTGGGCCACTTCGTGGTCTTCGTGTTCCCGGAACACCAGTCCTGTGCCATATTTTGAATGCCCGAGCTGAGGCGAGGCTGAGGCCGAGGCAGGCTGAGGCTGAGGCTGAGGCAGGCGAGGCTGAGGCTGAGGCTGAGGCAGGCTGAGGCAGGCTGAGGCTGAGGCAGGCTGAGGCTGAGGCTGACGCATGCTGAGGCCGAGGCAGGCTGAAGTTGAGGCTGAGGCAGGCTGAGGCTGAGGCAGGCTGAGGTTGAGGCTGTGGCTGAGGCTGAGGCTGAGGCAAGCTGCGGCTGAGGCAGGCTGAGGCTGAGGCTGAGGCAGGCTGAGGCTGAGGCAGGCTGAGGCTGAGAGGCTGAGGCTGACTGAGGCTGAGGCTGAGGCCTGAGGCAGGCTGAGGCTGAGCCGAGGCAAGCCGAGGCAGGCTGAGGCTGAGGCTGAGGCTGGCAGGCTGAGGCTGAGGCAGGCTGAGGCTGAGGCAGGCTGAGGCTAGGCAGGCTGAGGCTGGCTGAGGCCGAGGCTGAGGCCGAGGCTGAGGCTGAGGCTGAGGCAAGCCGAGGCAGGCTGAGGCTGAGGCTGAGGCTGAGGCAGGCTGAGGCTGAGACAGGCTGAGGCTGAGGCTGAGGCAAGCTGCGGCTGAGGCAGGCTGAGGCTGAGGCTGAGGTAGGCTGAGGCTGAGGCTGAGGCAGGCTGAGGCTGAGGCCGAGGCTGAGGCTGAGGCTGAGCCAAGCCGAGGCAGGCTGAGGCTGAGGCTGAGGCTGAGGCAGGCTGAGGCTGAGACAGGCTGAGGCTGAGGCCGAGGCAGGCTGAGGCTGAGGCAGGCTGAGGCTGAGGTAGGCTGAGGCTGAGGCTGAGGCAGGCTGAGGCTGAGGCCGAGGCCGAGGCTGAGGCTGAGGCAAGCCGAGGCAAGCCGAGGCTGAGGCTGAGGCTGAGGCAGGCTGAGGCTGAGGCTGAGACAGGCTGAGGCAGGCTGAGGCTGAGGCGAGCTGCGGCTGAGGCAGGCTGAGGCTGAGGCTGAGGTAGGCTGAGGCTGAGGCCGAGGCAGGCTCAGGAGGCTGAGGCATGCTGAGACTGAGGTTGAGGCAAGCTGAAGCTGAGGCTGAGGCTGATGCAGGCTGAGGCTGAGAGGCTGACGCTGAGGCTGAGGCAGGCTGAGGCTGAGGCCGAGGCTGAGGCTGAGGCTGAGGCAAGCCGAGGCTGGCTGAGGCTGAAGCTGAGGCTGAAGCTGAGGCAGGCTGAGGCTGTGGCTGAGGCTGAGGCAAGTTGCTGCTGAGGCAGGCTGAGGCTGAGGCTGATGCAGGCTGAGGCCGAGGCAGGCTGAGACTGAGGCTGAGGCAGGCTGAGGCTGAGGCTGATGCAGGCTGAGGCTGAGGCTGAGGCTGAGGCTGAGGCAGGCTGAGGCTGAGGCTGAGGCAGGCTGAGGCTGAGGCTGAGGCAAGCCGAGGCAGGCTGAGGCTGAGGCTGAAGCTGAGGCAGGATGAGGCTGAGGCTGTGGCTGAGGCTGAGGCAAGCTGCGGCTGAGGCAGGCTGAGGCTGAGTCTGATGGAGGCTGAGGCTGAGGCAGGCTGAGGCTGAGGCTGAGGCAGGCTGAGGCTGAGGCTGAGGCCGAGGCAGGCTGAGGCTGAGGCCGAGGCAAGCCGAGGCAGGCTTAGGCTGAGGCTGAGGCTGATGCTGAGGCAGGCTGAGGCTGAGACAGGCTGAGGCTGAGGCAGGCTGAGGCTGAGGCTGAGGCAGGGTGAGGCTGAGGCCGAGGCAGGCGAATCCTTCGGAATCCGTAGGATTCCCCAGGAATCCTTCGGAAACCCTAGGAATCCCTAGGAATCTGGATTCCTAAGGATTTCTAAGGTTTCCTAAGGTTTCCTAAGGATTTCTAAGGATGCCTAAGGATGCCTTAGGAATCCCTAGGAATCCTTAGGATTACATTGGATCCTAAGGCCGTTGCCACTGCGACTGTCATTGCGAATGCGACTGCGACTGCGAGAACAGCAGAATTCTATAACTGGATTCTCACCTGAATATTGTGGGGAATGCTTCCAGATATGCTTATACACATCGCTGTTAGGTTGCTTTGCCAGGATAGTATGCTCTGTTTGTTCTCTTCCGTCTCATCATTCCCTTTCTTTTTGCGGCGTGTTTCTTCCTCCTGCAGTATTTCCCTCATGCATTGTTTCCCTCCTTAGGAATCCGTAGGCACAGTTAAGCATCCTCAGGAATCCTTAGGAATCCGTAGGATTCCTCAGGAATCCTTAGCAATCCCTAGGAATCCCTAAGAATCAGGATTCCTAAGGATTCCTAAGGTTTCCTAAGGTTTCCTAAGGATTCCTAAGGATGCCTAAGGATGCCTTAGGAATCCCTAGGAATCCTTAGGGTTCCATTGGATCCCAAGGCCGTTGCCACTGCGACTGTCATTGCGAATGCGACTGCGACTGCGAGAACAGCAGAATTCCACAACTGGATTCTCACCTGAATCTTAAGGGGAATGCTTCCAGATATGCTTATACACATCGCTGTTAGGTTGCTTTGCCGGGATAATTAACCTAACAGCGAAGATTGATAGGTTTCTAGTGGGGTCAAAAGAGAGCATCTTGACTCCCAGAGGGGTCTGGGCGGATGCCGGGGGAATCCGGGGGATCTGGGAACTCCCCATGTTGATTGCCAGGAGCCACATTTTGATTGCCCGGAGCCAACAGAACACCACTCCCAGGCCACATTTTGAATGCCCGGAGCCAATTGTAGGCCATTTCGTGTTCTTCGTGTTCCCAGAACACCATTCCCAGGCCACAGTTTGAATGCCCGGAGCCAACTGCACTTCGTGTTCTTCGTGTTCCCAAAACACCATTCCCAGGCCACATGTTGAATGCCCGGAGCCAACTGTAGGCCACGTCGTGATCTTCGTGTTCCCAGAACACCAATTCCAGGCCACATTTAGAATCCCCGGAGCCAACTGTAGGCCACTTCGTGTTCTTCGTGTTCCCAGAACACCATTCCTGTACCATATTTTGATTGCCCGGAGCCAACTGTGGGCCACTTCGTGATCTTCGTGTTCCCAGAACACCAGTCTTGTGTCATATTTTGAATGCCCGAGTTGAGGCAGGCTGCGGCCGAGGCAGGCTGAGGCCGAGGCAGGCTGAGGCTGAGGCACGCCGAGGCAGGCTGAGGCTGAGGCTGAGGCAGGCTTAGGCTGAGGTAGGCTAGGGCTGAGGCTGACGCAGGCTGAGGCCGAGGCAGGCTGAGGCTGAGGCTGAGGCAGGCTGAGGCTGAGGCTGATGCAGGCTGAGGCAAGGAGCCCACGCTGAGGCTGAGGCAGGCTGAGGCTGAGGCTGAGGCCGAGGCAGGCTGAGGCTGAGGCTGAGGCTGAGGCAAGCCGAGGCTGGCTGAGGCTGAGGCTGAAGCTGAGGCAGGCTGAGGCTGAGGCTGTGGCTGAGGCTGAGGCAAGCTGCGGCTGGGGCAGGCTGAGGCTGAGGCTGATGGAGGCTGAGGCTGAGGCAGGCTGAGGCTGAGGCTGAGGCAGGCTGAGGCTGAGGCCGAGGCAGGCTGAGGCTGAGGCCGAGGCAGGCTGAAGCTGAGGCTGAGGCTGAGACAGGCTGAGGCTGAGGCTGAGGCAGGCTAAGGCTGAGGCCGAGGCAGGCTCAGGCCGAGACAGGCTGAGGCTGAGAGGCTGAGGCTGAGGATGAGGCCGAGGCAGGCCGAAGCTGAGACAAGGTGAGGCTGAATGGGAGGGGGGAGGAGGGGAGGCTGAGGCAGGCTGAGGCGAGGCAGGCTGAGGCCGAGGCAGGCTGAGGCTGAGGCTGAGGCAAGCCGAGGCAGGCTGAGGCTGAGGCTGAGGCTGAGGCTGAGGCAGGCTGAGGCTGAGGCTGACGCAGGCTGAGGCCGAGGCAGGCTGAGGCTGAGGCTGAGGCAGGCTGAGGCCGAGGCAGGCTGAGGCTGAGGCTGAGGCCGAGGCAGGCTGAGGCTGAAGCGGAGGCAGGCTGAGGCATCCGTAGGAATCCATAGGAATCCTTAGGAATCCCTAGGAATCCTTGGGAATCCGTAGGCATCCTTAGGAATCCGTAGGCATAGTTAAGCATCCTCAGGAATCCTTAGGAATCCGTAGGATTCCTCAGGAATCCTTAGCAATCCCTAGGAATCCCTAGGAATCAGGATTCCTAAGGATTCCTAAGGTTTCCTGAGGTTTCCTAAGGATTCCTAAGGATGCCTAAGGATGCCTTAGGAATCCCTAGGAATCCTTAGGATTCCATTGGATCCTAAGGCCGTTGCCACTGCGACTGTCATTGCGAATGCGACTGCGACTGCGAGAACAGCACAATTCTACAACTGGATTCTCACCTGAATCTTATGGGGAATGCTTCCAGATATGCTTATACAC